TCCTCTTCTCATCCAGCTGATGACCCTGTCAGCTAATCAATGTCCTCCTTGGTGTCCCCCCAGTTTCATTCCTCCACAATGTCATCGGAGAACCGGATATTCCTGTTCTCCTTCCAAGTGGAACAGTCAGGGCTGGTGGGAAAGAATTGCAAATCTGGGACTTCTGCTGTTCGGTTCCTGCTGGGCAGCACTTGTAGGCACTGGTCCATCAGCAGCATAAGTAACAGCATGCAGCCCATCCCCTGCTGCAAAGGTCTGCTGTCTTTGCAGGGAATCATGGTTCCAGGACTCAACCCCACTTTGCATCTCCAACTCAAGACACATTGCAGCTTTTCGTTTCTCCAGTTTCTCCGTAGTAAGTCCTGAGTGCAGGTCCATGGTATATGTGCAAGGTGCCAGATCGCTGAGCATCAGTTTGTTTAGCGGAACTCCACAATGCCTGCTCTTGATCTAGATGCTGATCAAAGTGGTCGGTCTCCTACATTCAGGGCAGATTAAACATAACCTCTCTGTTCCTTCCACTAGTCCCAGAGAAAAGCCTCCACTATGCTTCAGGTGGACCCCGGTGTCCAACGGGGTCATCTCTAGCCATAAAACTCTCAGGTACAATTGCATTGCAGTCTCCAACTTTCTCCTCTCATGCTCTCTCACAGCATGCTAGGTGTACTGGGTGTCTTCTCCAAGATTCTAGAGCAGGGGGAGGTGTCAAGGAACTGACCAGCAGAGCCTCTCAGCCTTGACCTAAGAAAACTGTCTCAGCCCAGGCTGCTATTCAAAAACCTGAGCTAGCTCCCCCTAGCTACCTATGCTACACACAGTATATAAATTCATACTTAGCTACAGGGCCAAATACCCTTCCAAATATTGCACTGTGAAGGTTGTAACACCTTAGGAAGATAGTTGGGCCCTGAGAGATATGTTTTCAAATATATGTCAATGTATTTGCAATGAATATTTTAAAAACATATTTAAAAAATATATTTTTCTTCCATGTGGGAGTAGCAGTGGCTGTGTCAATAATGCTGTTCAGCAGCAGAAAGGCCTAGCTCCAGGCAGAACTCATAGACAACACCTGCACCACATGATTTCTGACCAAATCGGAACCAGGGCTGACTAAATAGGAACCAGGTAGAACTTGCACAGTTTGTGTTGGAGCCTCTGGCATGCCTTGCAGCCATTGAGCTGTCTGAGATGGCCTTCCCTTGCGCAGGAGGTTTTGTTACAGAGATCTGAATCTGCCTGTCCCATGAAAGTATGGACTGGTTCATTTGCATTAAAATGAACGAATCTTGGTTTACATATGATGGATAAAATGGATACCTGTCACCTCTACTGGCCTCTTTACCAGCTCCTGCCAGCTCTGCTGGCCTCTTCCGATGCTGTAATTCCCACTGTAAATGTGCCATACACTGTTTTTGCATTTTCTGCACCTCAGAATTCACAGCCTGTTCTGGTTTGGCACTAAAAGGTATCAAACAATGTTTTGTACAGCTTGGCCTCTGCTGCAAAATTTCTAATGTCTGCTACCAAGTAAACTTTGCATTATGCCTCAAAGTTTGTTGTCTTTATCTGTGCTCTGGCCTATTCCAGTGCTCTGGCAGTAAAAAAAAAAATTAACTATTACCTTTCAAAAAGTACACTCTAGTGTTTATTTCAATATAAGACTTGCCTTGTCTCTCACTCTTATATTGTGGCCTAACCAAGCTGCTTACATACTGTATAATCCAGCCACAGTACAATATTTGCGGTTATTCTCACTGAGATAATACACTAACATTTTTATTTAGGATAAAACCTGTCTTGACTTTCCCTAATACATTGTGGTTTAATCAAGCTGCTTATATGCTGTCCAACCAGGGGCGTATTTACCACAAGGCAAACAAGGCATTTTTTTTAGGGGGGGCAGCACCTCCCCCCAGAAGAAAGAATGAAATAAGGGACATGCACACCATGGGAATCAGGTGGGATCCAAGAGAGGCTGTGGGCTGCTTCATGATGTATGTATATAGAGCCTGACTCTCGTTCCAAGGGATGTCCGGAGCTGTGACGATGAGCGTCTCTCTATAACCGGGGGGGGTAGTGGAAGGCTCTCTTAGGTAGGGGGCAGGGGTGTTGTTGGCCAATGTAAGGCTTTCTCCGCAGGAAAGGGAAAGGGTGGGTTGTGTTGGTCGGTGTCCGTGGGGGCAGACGATTTTTGTGTTGCCTAGGTCAGAACAAAACCTAAATACACCACTGTGTCCAACCACTGTACACTATTTGTGGCTTGTTGACCATATCTATAGATTATGAAATATAATATTTCTCTGATCTGATTTGGTAAATTAAGAGTTCTTACCCAGAAGTGAAAGGTTTAACACAACAACCAAAAATTTATTGATGAATAGGATGGAGGTCTAAACTAACACAAACAATCTAGCTACATAGAAAAAACCTTATTAAGGAAGCTCAAATATATTACAAAATACAAACAGTGAGACAGAAAAGACATAAGGCAAACATTTAGATATACAGTAAGTGCAAAGGATATATTCCATAATTACCATGGAACTGGATGTGCAGGTTTCATTCTCCTAACTGGTGTTCCAAAGAGAACATCTCTCTATCTAGTGTCTATAGTTATAGGCCTCTCCTCCATTAGTTTTCATGGAGTAGTTCTTATTGGTTGGTAAACCTATTCCCTTTCATAATTGGCTAACTTCAAATCCCCTGTATTTAGCATACACCAATCCCCTTTAAGGAAAACCTAGGCACACCCTTTATGGAATTTAAGTATGCCAGTTCATGATCTTTTCCTGGGAAATGAAGTATTCATGAACGGCTGGCCACCTACATTGCAAATCTGAATGAGGGATCCTTTGAAGTAGATATTTGGGAAGCCAACAGGTTTGGGTCCCATTGTTAGATACACTAACTCTGGCACTGAACTGTCTGAAAGAGGATTCTCAGCAAAGACTTCTATTATACAGTAATATAATTAATAGAATATTCCCTTTGGCAACTATGGTATCTATAGAATAGGAATTCATGGGAAGACATATTACACACCCATACTGATACAGCTCTATCTAAAATACATTCATAGATACAATATTATTTGCAGTGGTAATGGAGATTTCACATAAACAGGCTAATGTGTCTCAAATTATAATACTGTTCATTTCAAGATCATTATTATTTCAGGTACTTATATAGCACCATCAATTTATGCAGAACGATTACATATATATTGTACATTCACATCAGGCTCTGTCCTCAAGGAGCTTACAATCTAAGGTCCCTTATCCATATTCATACAGACACATACTAGGGCCAATTTAGACAGGAGCCAATTAACCTACCAGCATGTCTTTGGAGTGTGGGAGAAAACCAGAGTACCCAGAGGAAACCCACACAGGCACAGGGAGAACATGCAAACTCCAGGCAGGTGGTGTCATGGTTGGGATGCTGCTAAGTGAACTGCTAACCACTAAGCCACTGTACTGCCCAGGCGTGAACTGACCATTTAGCCACTCGGGCACTGCCCGAGGGCCTGGGGTCAGTAGGGGGCCCCAAGAGATGCCCCTGGTACCTTTTTTGGGTGTGGTTTGAGTGTGGGTGAGGACACAGGGGCCCCATGATTTCCTATTACCCGGGGGCCCCATGAGTTGTCAGTCTGCTTCTGGTACTGCCATGTCTCACCTTCTTACTTTGTGGCCTAACCATGCTACTTACATACTCACCAGCTATTATACAAAAAAAAAAAGCCGGACTATTAAGTATTGCAAAAATATTTGATTCTTTGGGCACAGTAAGAGACTACACAGTAAAATACATATACTGTAACTATTGACATAAAAGAGTCATGTATTCTTTATAGGACCCATAGTACAAACATGCCCCCAAAGAAAGGGGCCAAAAAAAAAAAAGGAAAATCATAATTATGAGCACAATGCCTCCCTAGCATATATGATGATCACTAGGCACATAATTACAATAAATGCAATACACATTCATCAAAAAACGGTCAACGTGTTTCGCCTGTGCATTTGGCTTCTTCAGGACTGTTACTTGAATATCAGGGAGAATAGTGCTACTGCATATATAAAGAAATACAAAATAAATAAGCTACTATACAATATTTGTGTCCATTTTCTCTCAAACAATAAAATTGCTTCTATTTAACCCCTTCCTGCCCAGGCCAATTTTCAGCTTTCGGCGCTGTCGCACTTTGACAATTGCGTGGTCATATAATACTGTACCCATATGAAAGTTTTATAATTTTTTTCATGAAAATAGAGCTTCACTACTGATTTTTTTTAAATTTTTGCTAAATAAAAAAAAAGAAACGAAAAAACTCCCAAAAATCAAAAAACAAGTTTTTCTCCATTTCTGTTATAAAAGTTTCCAAATAATTAACCTGTCTTCATAAATTTAGGTCAGAATGTATTCTGCTACATTTCTTTGGTAAAAATACCCCAAATTAGTGCATGTTATTTAGCCTGTAGGAAAGTTCTAGAGTCCACAAACTATGGTATATACTGTATATCTGACAATTGATCAATCCTAATGCGCTAATTGCCAATATAATTTCTTGAAGCCTGAAAATGCCAGGATAGTACAAACACCCCCCAAATGACCCATTTTTGGAAAATAGACAGTATTAGTAGGAGGCATGGTGAGTTTTTTTTAAAGTTGTAATTTTTTGTCACAATTTTTTGGAAAATGAAGAAATAAAATAATCACAATTTTTTTTTTTAAATATTGTTACCAGTCCAGTACAGCTTTATCATATAACTGGTGTGGAAATGATCAGGGACACTGATTTAATTTTTTTCTTTCAATTTTTTTTCTTTTGTATTACATTTTTTTCTTTGTTTTACTATTTTTTTTCAACACACTGTGGTCAGAGCAAGACAATGTTACCATAGTAACACTGAACTACTCTGGGCAAGTGATCAAGATTTTTTTTTTACACATTATGATTACTAATACCAATGTATTTCATTGATATTAGCAACCATTTTTACTGAATCAAACTGATTCATTAAGTTTTTTGTTGTAATTAGCTGTGATTGGGCAAAGCTCATCACATGGTATATATAGGCTGTGACTGGTCCTGTCTGTATCATGTTACTGCTGTGACAAGGGGCGGACTGACCATTTAGGCACTCAGGCACTTCCCGAGGGCCCGGGCTCTGTAGGGTGCCCCATGAGATGCCCCTGGTACCTTTCATAGGCTTTTTTGGGTGTGGTTTGAGTGTGAACGAGGACACAGGGCCCCATGCTTTCCTATTGCCCGGGGGCCCAATGAGTTGTCAGTCCTGCCCCTGGCTGTGACCAATCACAGCTAACAACACAAATGTATACAAGGATGGCATGAAAGACAGCCATCCATTGTATACAACTGTCATGTGATCTGCTGGGATTGGTCACATGACACTGGCAGCAGGCCAGTGCAGTGATCTGTCATTGCCTGTGTCCTGTGGACACAACAGGTGACAGATTGCGCACTGTGCGGCTCCGCGGCCGAGTGAGTGGCACCTTCTGATAGGACATCATATGACGCCTACAGAGTGTGTTAAACATAAAACTTTCTGAAGAACCCTGCGGTATTAGATACATAGTTTCTAAAAAGAATATTGCTCTGACAGTGTGCATACAAGAGAACTCATAATACAAGAATATAAAACCCTCACTGAAAAGAGAGACAATAACTCGACGCATTTTCGATCATTCCACATTTTAGATCTTCCTCAGGGGTCATGAAAGACAAAGGGCTTTCTAGTGAATATATAAGCAATCATAAATGAGCATACCAAAAAATTAATAAAAAAAAAAAGTTATCACATACCCAAAAAAACATTTTTTTTACTTACAAAAACATATGTCAGTGCAAAAAAGGGGATGACTTCCAAGATGGGAGGCTGAACACCATGTACATAATCCAAGAGGGCAAGAGTGGTCAGATGTAAGACACCAGACAACAAGGACTAACAGAAGGGCACCAGAACACCCCCCCCCCAATGGGACTAAAGAGGGTATGAAAAGCAGAATATATTAAATTCCTAATCACCAAACCAAAGGGATATTCCTAATAAAAGAATATGCATTCAAGAATGGTCCATAAACGATATATCAAAAGATGAGGCTGACCATGTCTTGAGCAGGTTAATGTATGGAACAAATACAATTTCACTCGGTAATAGATGTGACAACTCAAGGAAATAAAGTGGTACATTTTAAATATTATTTTCTCCAAGGAATGGAACTCTTAAGGCGTCAGCATACCAAGACATTTTGGACAATTTCATGTTCCCAACTTTGTGGGAAGAGTTTGGGGATGGCCCCTTCCTGTTCCAACATGACTGCACACCAGTGCACAAAGCAAGGTCCATAAAGACATGGAGGAGCCAGTTTGGGGTGGAGGAACTTGACTGGCCTGCACAGAGTCCTGACCTCAACCCCATAGAACACCTTTGGGATGAATTAGAGCGGAGACTGCGAGCCAGGCCTTCTCCCCCGACATCAGTGCCTGACCTCACAAATGTGCTTCTGGAAGAATGGTCAAACCTTCCCATAGACACCCTCCTAAACCTTGTGGACAGCCTTCCCAGAAGAGATGAAGCTGTTATAGCTGCAAAGTGTCAACTCAATATTGAACCCTATGGTCTAAGACTGGGTTGCCATTAAAGTTCATGTGCATGTAAAGGCAGGCGTCCTATACTTTTGGCAATATAGTGTATATGCCCCCTCCCACACGCTACCTTCCCCAGTCCCTGGGTGCTCTGCTCCCCAGTGAAATCCTGCTGTTAAGCATACAAGTTCCAGAGGGCTGTTCTGCAAAGTGTGAGTGCCCCTGAATGGCAGACCATGGCTATCTAATGTCTGTTTTAATACACTACATCTAACACCATATCAATGGGTTGCATTAGCTGAACTCAGCACTGTTGTGTATGCCAAAGCAGATATAGCATATGTGAAAGGGAAAATTGCAAATCTGCATGCCATATTCAAGAAATAATTCTTTTACAAAGGGTTTTATTATAGAATAAGCAGAAATAAACACACATTCGGGAAAGATATACGTTGACCAATAAATATGAGACATACAGGACATTTTTAGAAACATTTCAGAGCAAATGTAGAAACATAAGCATATGTCAAAAATTCAAAAAGGTCTGGTGGTGCAGGTGCAGATGATGTACTGTATATGTTCCACACCTGTGGTATTTAGAAAGTCTACATTGCCTTCCTGACCAGGAGGAACCACAACCCTCTTTGTCAAGTTTTGGAGGTTGTACAGGAAATATGTCAGCTGAAGAAGAAGATGGGACCATAGAGGAAATGTCAGACAGTCAGGTAAGTAATTATCAGGGGCGGACTGACAACTCATTGGGCCCCCGGGCAATAGGGGATCATGGGGCCCCTGTGTCCATGCCCAAACTCAAAAAAGCCTATGAAAAAGGTACCAGGGGCATCTCATGGGGCCCCCTACTGACCCCGGGCCCTTTGAGATGCCCCTGGTACCTTTTTCACTTTGTAAATGTACAGATCAGGTATGTTAATGCAGAATAAAGATAATTTGTCTTCACAAATATAATTCACATTAATGTAATACTGAACATAAAATTACAACTTTCAAGTTTATTTTTAACGTACGGACAGGAACCGACTGACCATTTGGAAACTCGGGCACTGCCCGGGGGCCCAGGGTTAGTAGGGGGCCCCCATGAGATGCCCCTGGTACCTTTTTCATAGGCTTTTTTGAGTTTGGGCAAGGGCACAGGGGCCCCATTATCTCCTATTGCCCGGGGGCCCCATGAGTTTTCAGTCCGCCCCTGCGTAAGCATAGCATGACATCTGCAAAAGCACAGGTACCCAAATTTGACAGGTAGCCACTCCCTCTTCGCTGCGATCACCTAGGCAATAGGAAACGGAAGTTGTCCTCCTCCCTCCCTCCCTGTAGTCTTCTGGGACACATGACAGGCCCCAGAAGACTACGGGGTCATTCACAAAGCTCAGCGCTTTCTCGCGCATGCGCAGTGGGCACCGGGCTGTGAAGCCGCAAGCTGTCACAGCCAGGTGCCCACACTGAAGATGCCGGCGCCAGGGAGAGAAGATGGCCGGTGAAACCAGTTGTGGTGAGGACACCAGTGGACCCTGGGACAGGTAAGTGTCTGTATTGTAAAAGTCAGCAGCTACAGTTTTTGTATTTATTGATTTTTTTTTCAGGTGGAACTCCGCTTTAAATAGACCATTGGGCGCCAGTGTAAGTGGCGGGTGTGCACGTGCATTCATATGCACACATCTATGCACAGCAAAATCAGCACCTGCAGGTCTATGCAGCTGTATGCACCTTGAGCCTTCATCTGTACTATGGCCAGTGCTTCCCTGACAAAAGCCTATTACCACATTTTTACCAAAACTATATTGCACCAATACCAACCCCTTTACTGCAGTTATATCGAACTGTCACTGCATTTGACACACATCTACACTGCACCTGTAACACATCTTTACCCTGCCTTTACTGCATCTTTACTGCAACTACTTTGCTTGCTGTTTTATTAGCCACTTCCCATCCGGCCGTTGTATATAAACAGCCAGATGGTGGCAGTGCAGGGTCGGGTGGCCGTTTATAAACCGCCACCCCGCCCCCCTGCTTGTGCGCACTCCCTAGGAACTTGCAGCACCGCGATCCGGTGCCAGCTGTGTCCAGAGGACACAGTGGAACACCAATCGTCGTTCGGGACCTCTGTGCGAGGTCCTGATCATGTGATCACTGATTTGCCAATCAGTGATCACATGAAGAGTAGTAAGCAAGATGTCACTTCTGACATCATTGCTTACTACCTCCCACACTCCAAAGACATGCTGGTAGGTGAATTGGCTCCTGTCTAAATTGTCCCTAGTATGTGTATGTATGAATGTAAGTTAGGGACCTTAGATTGTACGCCCCTTGAGGGTTAGGGACTGATGCGAATGTATAATATATATGTAAAGCGCTGCGTAAATTAACAGCGCTATATAAGTACCTGAAATAAATAAATAATAAATACTACTTGTGAAATCTGTGAATGATCACAGAGATCACATGGTACAAGGCTATTCACAACAGCCTTGTACCATGTGACAAGCTGTGACCAATCACAGCTCACACAGTATTTCTCAATGGCTGCAAGAATGCAGCCAGAGAAAAGGAGTTATGATTGATTTTACAGCCTTTATGGGTATAAAAGCAATCAGTGTAAAAAAAAAAAAAAAAAAATGATATGCCCCTGGTACCTTTTTTATAGGCTTTTTTGACTGTGGGCAAGGACACATGATCCCCTATTGCCCAGGGGCCCCATGAGTTGTCAGTCCACTCCTGCTGAGGAGGAACCAGGGGCAGACTGACCATTCCAGCACTCGAGCACTGCCCGAGGGCCCGAGGTCAGTAGGCGGTCCCGTGAAATGCCCCTGGTACCTTTTATAGGCTTTTTTTGGGTGTGCTTTGAATGTGGGCAAGGACACAGGAGCCTCATGATCCCCTATTGCCCAGGGGCCCCATGAGTTGTCAGCCCGCTCCTGCTGAGGAGGAACCAGGGGCGGACTGACCATTTCAGCACTCGAGCACTGCCCGATGGCCGGGGTCAGTAGGCGGTCCCGTGAAATGCCCCTGGTACCTTTTATAGGCTTTTTTTGGGTGTGCTTTGAGTGTGGGCAAGGACACAGGGGCCTCATGATCCCCTATTGCCTGGGGCCCCATGAGTTGCCAGTCTGCCCCTGGGAGGAACTCTTAATAGCTATTAAATCATTAAAATCCATAAAGAGTCTGGGCCCTGATGGCCATACAGGTCACTACTACAAAATATTTGCCAATTTACTAAAAGACCCACTGCTGAAGGCTTTGAATTCTCTAAAAGATCCCCAAATAATCACAGAGACCTCCTCAATGGCCCATATTACAATACTTCCCAAACCTGGTAAGGACCTCACTGAATGTTCTAGCTATAGACCTATCTTGCTGTTAACCCTTGATTTGAAATTGTTGGAAAATATTTTAGCAACACATCCAACTCTAGAGTTGGTTCTGGCCAGCTCAGTGGATTTCTTTAAAAAAAAGTCCTGGATTTGTTCTTAGATACACAGAATATAACTGGATACTAACATTTATAGGTAAAATTGATCCAGGGAATATCTGATTGCCTCTCAGGGGATCAGGGAGGAATTTTTTTTCCCTGCAGGAGCAAATTGGATCATGCTTTACTGGGGGTTTTTTTTTGCCTTCCTCTGGATCAACTGTGGGTATAGGATTATAACTTTTTTTTTTTTTTTGTCTTTTTTTAGCCAGACTAGCTATGTCTATGTGATTTCTTGCCAGTTTATAGGCCCTGAACTAGTGGGCTTTATGCCAGGCAGGGAGGCGAGGGATAATGTGATTAAGGCTCTCAATGTGGTTCACATATTTTGTGGGGGATCTGTCAAGGACGGTTGCAGAGAAGGCCTTTGATAGAGTAGCATGGGACTTTATGATGATGTTATGTGCTCATGTGGGGCTAAAGACAAATTATTATTATTATTATTATTATTATACATTATTTATAAAGCGCCAATAGTTCGCTCAGCGCTGTACATTACAAAGGGGGACAGAACATGTGACAGAACAATACCAATACAATGCAAAACATGAGGGGATCGAGGGCCCTGCTCTTTGGAGCTTACAATCTAGGAGGGAGGGGATGATGGCACAGGAGGAGATAGCTGTGGGGGATGGAGTGGTAGGAAGAGTGGAGGAGGTCGGCCAGTCAGCAGGGGGTGGGGTAGGCTTCCCTGAAGAGATGGGTTTTCAGGGTGTGCCTAAAGGAGAGGAGAGTAGGTGATAATCTGCTGGGTTGGGGCAGGGAGTTCCAGAGGATGGGTGACACCCTGGAGAAGTCCTGGAGGAGCATGGGAGGAGGAGACCAGGGAACTAGAGAGAAGGAGATCTTGTGAGGAGTGGAATGTCCGTGGTGGGGCGGTACTTGGATATTAGGTCAGTGATGTAGTACGGGGCAGTATGGTGGACGGCTTTGTACGTCAGCGTTAGGATTTTGAATTTGATCCGTTGCGCAATCGGAAGCCAGTGGAGGGATTGGCAGAGGGGGGTGGCGGAAACGGAGCGGTTGGAAAGGTGAATGAGCCTGGCTGCCGTATTCAGGATGGACTGAAGCGGGGATAGCCAGCGGCGAGGCAGGCCAGTGAGGAGGGAGTTGCAGTAGTTGAGTCGTGATATGATGAGGGAGTGGATGAGCTGTTTAGTGGTTTCTGGAGTTAGGAACGTGCGGATTTTGGCGATGTTGCGGAGGTGGAGTCTGCATGAGTTTGTTAAAGATTGGACTTGGGGCTGGAAGGATAGGTTGGAGTCCAGAATGACACCAAGTACTCTGGCCTGCGGGGCAGGTTTGATGGTGGCGTTGTTGTGGATGTGATGGAGAAGTCAACGGGGGGTGTTGTCCGGGCTGGGGGGAAGACAAGAAACTCGGTTTTGGAGAGGTTCAGTTTAAGGAAATGGAGCGACATCCAATCTGATATGTCGCTCAGTAGGTGTGTGATTCGGACGGAGACATATGTTGACATGGATTTCATCACTTTACCAAAATCCCTTGGCCAAATTAAAGATTAACTGCACATTTTCGAAATCGGTACAAATTAGGAATGGCACACGCCAAAGTTGCCCCCTTTCACCCATTTTATTCATCCTCACATTGGAACCTTTTATTAGAATGGTCAAAAAAATACTTCTTTTAGATCTTTGGAAATGGGGACTAACACATACAAAACCGCAGTCTATGCAGATTATCTATTATTTTGCTCACTCAGCCACATAGTATAGCTCACATCTAATTTATCAGACCTTTATTAAACTAATTATAAACCCCTTCTTAGTAAGGTTTCCCAGGATTCTAATAAATGGATGATGAAACCCCTCTTGTGGTTTGGTCGGGCCGCAGCAGTCAAAATTACAATTCTGCCTAGAATTTTATATCATCTTCATACACTACCTATTGATATACTTTCCAGCTTTTTTTAAGCAACTGTATTCAATTGTTCGCACCTTTATCTGGTCTCATAAAAGACCAAGATTCAACTTACAACTGTTCTCTAAATCTTAAACTGTGGGAAACATGGGAATGCCCATTTTTTTTTTACAATACTACTATGCAAGACATTTAGCTAGAGTTGTTGACTGGAATTGTCACAAAGACAAAAAAAAAAATGGGTTGGCCAAGAGACCCTGGGAAGCTCCACTCTATTTTTTTTTTTAATTTAAATATTTATTAATTTTTCAGATAAACAAGTTATATACAAAACATACTCATTAAAATCTTAGCATATTATCATGTTTTGATAATAAGGTCCACTCTATTAGGATTTTTACCCTGGGTCCCATGGGATAAATGCCCATCACAAGCAAAACATCATCCTCTGATTGGACTTACTTTAGCAATGTTTCCTAAGGTTTCTAGGGCATATGGCATATCTTCTTCCCTTAAAAAATACAAGCAATCTCTGGTCAGATATTTACTAAATGCTGCCAAATCCATCATACCTCACCTGACTCCACCATGAAATAAATGACGTGTACAAAAAAAGTAGCCATTACCAATAAAATAGCAAAAAATTCATAAAATGTGAAGATCATGGTTTGTTTTCCGCTTTTCTGACTTATACTGTGTGTTCGCCTTTGTACTGGCTGAAAATGCTGATCCATAAAGACTGAACTATGATACCTAGAAGTTATTTATTATTTATTTATTACAGGTACTTATATAGCGCCATCAATTTACACAGCGCTTTACATATATATTGTACATTCACATCAGTCCCTAACCCTCAAGGGGTGTACAATCTAAGGTCCCTAACTCACATTCATACATACACATACTAGGGACAATTTAGACAGGAGCCAATTAACCTACCAGCATGTCTTTGGAGTGTGGGAGGAAACCGGAGTACCCGGAGGAAACCCACGCAGGCACAGGGAGAACATGCAAACTCCAGGCAGGTGGTGCCATGGCTGGGATTTGAACCGATGACCCAAGTACTGCCTTGTTTTTTTTTCAAGTTCCACATTTAAGCTCATTTGAATGACACTGGAATGAGGCTTTAGAAGAGCCTCCAAGTGCAGTTTTTTCTTTATGGAGTTCTTCATCCATTTCATCTGGAAGCGATAACCAAAAAGTGAATGGGAACACAGGATTCTTTTTGCCATGGTGGCAGCTCTGTGGGAACTGTATTTCAAGATAGCAAGATTTTCCATTCCCACGTTTCGACTAGCAAAAAGAGAAAATTTCTCCAGGTCAGCGGTCATTTCCCTCAGGACACTGGTAAGGGTGACTTTGTCCAGGACACATGGCAAACCATCCAGCTCCAGGTGACATTTTTCAATGCTTTTGCAGACACCAATCTTGCAGCCAGGTAGAATCTCATATCCATGAAACATGGAGACCGCTAGCTCTGCATGGTGCACTTTGGTATATCGGGCAAAACCAAACCCTCGATTAAGTCCACTAAAAGTCATCATAAGACGAAACTCGTACAATGCTCCAGCAGTCTGAAAAAGGGGAATTATTTTATCTTCATAGATTTCTTGAGGGAGATTGTTAATAAAGATTTCTGCCCCAAGTGGACGAGCTTCTCCAACCCAGCCTGCAGGAGGGCCACCATATTTCCTCTGACCATTGACCTGTACAAGACTAATATTACACCTCTCTGTCCACTCCAGAAGGGAATCTTTATTGTCTTTATTCAGAGACCTAATCCAAACCTCACTCTCAGGGTTCCTCACATTGCTGTCCATCATCTCAGTCAGCTCCGCTCTCTCCATGTGATCTGAACTCTTCCAAACCAAGTTGAGTAGAACTTGGAGGCGAGATATCCTATAACTCATCATCTGGTGATCCATCTTTACTTTTTCTATTCTTTATAATATTTTTTCTTAACCTTTTTCTTTTCTATAAAATTTAATACATTAAACACATCATTAGTGGGTCATAATATTGTTTATTGACAATTAAAGTACCGTACTCACATGGAAGTGAATATTCATATGACAACAAATTCTGGGAATTGTACATATTTTACAAACTGAATTAACATTTGAATTGATGTACTATGACTTTACAATGTACACATATATAAATAGTTGAATGTAATATGACAAACAAAACATTTCTATTGAAATTCAAAAGAAAAAAAAGAACAAGTCCTGCAAGTCATGACATGCCTTGGGCAAGGCTTGTTCATGTTGTTATGCAGGAAAGCCAAGCTTTGGTTATGTACTTCCGTGTTACAGGATGACCTGACAAAGTTCAGTATCAGAATGTTCCAATGTGCCTTTTCCGTCCTATAAACATTTAGATAACTATAAACAGATACCATAGAAATTATTCTACAGAAAACCCCCCCAGAAAACTCAATGTGTCAATTAAATAGAATTCTTGTTTGAGGTATCTTTGCCCATTCTTCCTTACAAACGTCTTCCAGTTCTTTGAGATTTCTGGGCTGTCTGTCACGCACTGCTCTTTTAAGGTCTATCCATAGATTTTCAATTATGTTGAGGTCAGGAGATTGTGAAGGCCATGGCAAAACCTTCAGTTTACGCCTCTTGATGTAATCCCCCGTGGAGTTCGAGGTGTATTTAGGATCATTATCCATTTGTAGAAGCCATCCTCTCTTTAACTTCAGCTTTTGCACAGATGGCATCAAGTTACCATCCATAATTTGCTGAAATTTTATTGAATCCATTATTCCTTCTACTCGTGAGATGTTCCTGTGCCACTGGCTGCAACACAACCCCAAAGCATGATTGATCCAACCCCATGCTTAACAGTTGGACAGAGGTTCTTTTCATTAAATTCTGTGCCCCTTCTTCTCCAAACGTACCTTTGCTCATTCCGGCCAAAAAGTTCAATTTTAACCTCATCGGTCCACAGAACTTGTTTCCAAAATGCATCAGGCTTGTCTATATGTTCATTTGCAAAGTTCAAACGATGATTTTTGTGGTGGTGACGTAGAAGAGGTTTTCTTCTGATGACTCTTCCATGAAGACCATATTTGTACAAGTATCTCTTTATAGTGGAATAGTGTACCACAACTCCAGTGTCTGCCAGATCTTTCTGGAGGGATCGTGCAGTCAAACGTGGGTTTTGAATTGTTTTTCTCACAATCCTGCGAGCTGTTCTGTCTGATATTTTTCTTGGTCTTCCAGATCTTGCTTTAACTTCCACTGTTCTTGATGACTGCCATTTCTTAATTACATTCCGAACAGAGGATATTGACATCTGAAAACGCTTTGCTATCTTCTTATAGCCTTCTCCAGCTTTGTGAGCGTCAACTATTGTCAGTTTCAGTTTTCTAGACAACTGCTTAGAAGAACCATGGTGCTGATTGTTGGGGCAAGGTCAGATGAGTCTGGGCATTTAAAACCTTTGAGCTTGACATCACCTGGTCTTCCCAGACGATGATTGAGAACAATCCATGACACTGGCAGGTCTCAGCTTTGCAAAGGGGGCAGTGCATGCTATAAATTCTGCAGGGTGCCCAAATTTTTGCAGATGCCATTTTTTTTGTTTTCTGTTATTTTCAAAGTGTAAATGATGGAAATAAAATCTAACTTTTATTGACATATTATAAGAATGTCTAATCTGTAATTTGATGCCTTTTGGAGATTTTTCCATCTTTCCTTGGCTTCTTTATGCACATTAATACAAATTTTTAGCTGGGGTGCCCAAACTTTCGATCCCCACTGTATTTTGCCTTGGAGCAACTTAACCTTTAGCAACATAAGACGGGGGGGTGATATTTTGCTGATATTGTCATTTCATTGTAGACATATTGTTTATCTAGAAAAGTTTGGGGAGAATTAAGTTATTTATCCTTCAGGGAGTTTACAAGGTATATAAAATGGTATTGTCAATACTATACAGAAGACATTTGGTTTTTCAAATGCAATTTTTTAGAAAAAATACATTTTAACCTCACTAGCGGTATTCCCGAGTGTAGCTCTGGGTAAAATTTGAGTACCAAGAGCGGTGACCCTGAGCTACACTCGGGCTTACCATGCGGCGTTGCTCAGGGAGTCCCTGCAGCACTTACCTTGTCCTTCGCTCCCATGATGTGTCCCCTGCAGCATCCCCGCCGTCTCCTCCGGCCGATGCCGGCATCCGGCTTCCGTGTTCCGGTCCCTGTGACGTCAGGACGTACGGGCGCCGGAATGGGCGGCAAATTTGAAATTTTTAAAAAATGTCATTTTTTTAGAAAATGATTATTACATAGTAAAACATTGCTGTTTCAATGCATTTCACATACATTTTGTCCCTACTGCTTTGTCCTGTGCCCTGCCTGCATTTTGACTTCTCTTTCTGCCTGGAAACTTAGAAAAGTCCATGGCATCCAAAAACCGTCCCTTTACATCAAAATCAGTTTTAGACCGGCTAGAGAACAGCGATAGTAAATCCGAACCACTTACAGAATTGAGTGATAATGATTCGTGGGGGAAATTCGTCATCAGACACTGAAAATGATTCTGCGACTTTGCTCAGCGATGTGCGAATTTGCCTCTGTATTTCAAATTTCAGTGTTTTTGGTTTGATTATATTATTGAATTAAATGTATTATTATTATATTATTATTTTTTATGATTATTTATTAAATTATAATTTATGATTTTGTGTTTAAAATTTTATCCTACCCGGAATGTTTACTAGACTCTTGTTCGGGCAGATTTCAGTGAGTTATTCCTAAAAATTACAGGCCTACAATAAAAAACTACATATTTTCATGCAAAAAAAATGGTACCGCTTTCAGCACAAAAAATCGGAAATAATCATAACCGCCGAGGAGGTTAATGAATTTTAGTGTCGAAAAACACAATATAATACCCTATTGTTTGGTAAAATATAAAAGATGATGTTATGTCAAGTAATTAAATACTAAACATGCCACTTTAAAATTGGAAATCCCTTGGAACGTGTCATTGCTGTCAGTGGGAGGAATAGTGCTCCATCACTGGTGTCAGTGGGAAGAATAGTACGTCATTGGTGCCAGTGGGGGGGGAGGAATAGTGCCCCATCGTTGTTGTCAGTGGGGGGAGGAATAGTGCCTCATCATTGGTGTCAGTGGGAGGAATAGTGCCCCATCATTGGTGTCAGTGGGAAGAATAGTGCCTCATCACTGGTGTCAGTGGGAGGAATAGTGCCCCATCATTGGTGTCAGTGGGGGGAATAGTGCCCCATCATTGGTGTCAGTGGGAGGAATAGTGTCCCATCATTGGTATCAGTGGGAGGAATTAGTGCCCCATCATTGGTGTCAGTGGGAGGAATTAATGCCCCATCATTATTATCGGTGACACCTATGATGGGGCACTATTCCTCCCACTGACAGCAATGACACTTAACTAGCTGACCCCTGTTCCAGAATGGTGCTGCTGCAGCTAGCATACCTGGTTGCAGCAGCACCATCTGCACGGCACACTTACCAGCTGCTGTCCTCCTTCCTTCACTTCAGCCCTCTCCCTCCCTTGATTTTCACGGGGCCACTCGGCTCCGCCTCCTCGCCGGTGATTGGCTGCCTGTGTGCCTTTCCTGAGCTACAGTACTGGCGCCCAATCACCAGTGAGGAGGCGGAGCGAAGCGGCAGTGCGGACATTGAGTAAGGGAGCTGGAGTGAAGGAGCTGGACTGGACTGGATCATTGTGGGACTGGGACCAGAGCCAGGTAGGAGACAGCAGCCCCCTGCTCGCCCCTGAACTTAGTGTCCCCTGCCGGCGGGCTGGATGAATGTGCTCGGCGGGCCAGTAGGGGGACCCATGAAATGCCCCTGGTACCTTTTTTTATAGTCTTTTTTGACTGTGGGCAAAGACACATGATCCCCTATTGCCCGGGGGCCCCATGAGTTGTCAGTCCGCTCTTGCTGAGGAGGAACCAGGGGCGGACTGACCATTTGAGCACCCGAGCACTGCCTGAGGGCCGGGGTCAGTAGGCAGCCCTGTGAAATGCCCCTGGTACCTTTTATAGGCTTTTTTGGGTGTGCTTTGAGTTTGGGCAAGGACACAGGGGCCTCATGATTCCCCTATTGCCTGGGGCCCCATGAGTTGCCAGTCTGCCCCTGGGAGGAACTCTTAATAGCTATTAAATCATTAAAATCCATAAAGAGTGTGGGCCCTGATGTTCATACAGGTCACTACTACAAAACATTTGCCAATTTACTAAAAGACCCACTGCTGAAGGCTTTGAATTCTCTAAAAGATCCCAAATAATCACAGAGACCTCCTCAATGGCCCATTATTACAATACTTCCCAAACTGGTAAGGGACCTCACTGAATGTTCTAGCTATGTAGACCTATCTTGCTGTTAACCCTTGATTTGAAAATATTGGAAAATATTTTAGCAACACATCCAACTCAAGAGTTGGTTCTGGCAAGCTCAGTGGATTTCTCTAAAAAAAAGTCCTGGATTCGTTCTTAGATACACAGAATATAACTGGATACTAACATTTATAGGTAATATTGATCCAGGGAATATCTGATTGCCTCTCAGGGGATCAGGGAGGAATATTTTTCCCTGCAGGAGCAAATTGGATCATGCTTTGCTGGGGTTTTTTTTTTTTGCCTTCCTCTGGATCAACTGTGGGTATAGGATTATAACTTTTTTTTTTCTTTTGTCTTTTTTCAGCCAGACTAACTATGTCTATGTGATTTCTTGCCAGTTTATAGACCCTGAACTAGTGGGCTTTATACCAGGCAGGGAGGCGAGGGATAATGTGATTAAGGCTCTCAATGTGGTTCACATATTTTGTGG